TTGTGTGTGTGTGTGTGTGTTTGTTGTGTGTGTGTGTGTGTGTGCGTGTGGGTTGTTGTGGTGGTCGCGTGTGTTGTGTGTGGTGTGTGTGTGTGTGGTTGTGTGTGCGTGTGCGCGTGTGTGTGTGCACCGTGTGTGAGTGCGTGAGTGAGTGAGTGAGTGACGTGGTGAGTGAGTGAGTGAGTGAGTGTGAGTGATGTGTGTGTGTGTGAGTGCGAGTGTGTGTGTGTGTTGTGGTGTGTGTGTCGTGTGGTGTGTGTGTGTGTGTGTGTGTGGTGTTGTGCTGGGTGCGTGCTGTGTGTGTGGTGCTGGTTATGACTATTAGTTATAACACTAAATGTTTCTATTATACTTTGCAATTACAATATAATTAAGCCATCATTAACTCTACTAACTGCAAAATAAAAAAAAATAATTGCACTGAAGAGAAGAGAAGATAGATGGTAACACAAATTGTAGATGTGACAGAAATTCAGACAACAAAATCAAAAAAAAGAAAAATATAAAATTACAATGAAATATTACAATGCATTATGCTCACCAGCCACCCCCCTCCTCCTCCTCCTCACTTTCCTCCTCTTCTGTACACTATGCATTAGAGAGAGAGAGAGAGAGAGAGAGAGAGAGAGAGAGAGAGAGAGAGAGAGAGAAGAGAGAGAGAGAGAGAGAGAGAGAAGAGAGAGGAGAGAGAAGAGAAGAGAGAGAGAGAGAGAGAGAGAGAAGAGAGAGAGAGAGAGAGAGAGAATATTACATTTTTGAAAAAGATTTTTGAATTTTGTAAATGTTCCAAGTGGTAATTCAATATGTTATTCCCAAACTGTATAATACTTTACAACTAATGTGATGAGTCTTTATGAAAGATGATAAACAGTCCCTTACATTTACAAGTTCACAACTCTAATGTGTAAACCAGTGTTATTCTCTTGTATCCAAAATAAATACCAGTACAAACTACAGGGTAAGTGTTTCTGGTCCTAGCACTGCATGATACATTTGGACATGTTGGGGGGGGGGAGGTATAGTTTTAGGTGTAGATCTAAATTTTCCATGTTTACAGTCAACTAATTTGTTTATTTATGAACATGAATTACAAAAGACTAAACATTTATATGATAAATTAGTATGACTTTCATGTCTACCATCCTGTTGAATTTATGTGAGATGAATAATACTTACAAACTGTAAAATCAAGACTTTTTATTTGGAAACATTAAATTTATGATTCCCTTCCAACTTGCAAAAAGATCTAGTTAAATTTATGAGCACAAAAAATATAACATGTCTAATAACAATTATGATAATATATATGAATAATAATATATCAAAAAGACTTTAAGAATCACATAGTTAAAATCTTTTAATTAACAGCAGCACTCACCTGCTCTTTTCCCTCCTGTTCATTGCTGAATTTAATGACTTTCTGGCAGTACTCCATCCTTGCTTCCAGGGGCACCATCTTAGCAGCTTCACTTGACAGCACCAACTGCTTTACAAACATTGTTACATCGCTTGGATTCATCTTCTCCATATACTCCTCACATGAACTAAATCTGTAAAAAATATCCAGTTCATCGCACTTCATATGATCATCAACCATCATTAGTTAAAATTTGTAAACCATACAACAGAAATAAATGTCTGACATTAGGTATCACAGCATCTTACCTTGTAATCCATGCATTTGCAGTCTTAGGTTTCCTGTCAGAAGAAAAATCAAAGAAATACTTCTGGGCCCAAGCACAGTAAATTGTACTTGGGTTGATTCCAGCATCCTTCATACTGGGAACATTTTTTGCCATTTTTGCAAGATTGTTGACATTTTGAGCTGTTAGGACTGGGCGCAAAAGAGCCATCACATCTGTATCTGCCTTGAGGAGCAGCTTGTAATTAAGTCCTTTGGCAGATCCCTTCAGTTTTTTCAAGAGTTTGATGTGGGATGCAGCTGCTTTGGCCTCAGCTTTCTTACCACCGCACTGCTCAATCAGAGTGTAATAGAGCAAGAGACGCTCATGGTCACATCCACTCACTGTCAGGAAAACAGTCTGCTCCATTCGGGTTATGAATTCTCTGGGCTCTTTGCTCAGCTTCTCCACCAAATTCTTTTCTTCTATGCACTGCTTGATATCATTAGTAGAAATATCTGAATCAAATAAATGCTGCAAATAGGTCATATAAACCTGCCACAGAGAGACTTCATACTTCCTTGCTAATGTTAGAGCCAAGTCAAGCACCTCATTGTCACGAGTCATGGCCAGGCCTAACACTGTATCCTCTTTGTAACTGCTGTCAACCAAGAACCTGTCAATGTCAACACCAGCTCCCAATCTCTGGAGAGCTTGGCCTTGTACATAGTCTGAGACAAGATCTTGGGTACTCTTGAACAGGTCCACATACTGACTAAGCTGATTGTTGAGCTTCGAAGTGTCTAATTCTTCAATCAAGCTTGCAACACTATCAATGACTGCATCAGGGTCATGCAAGAAGACTGGGGCAATGCTTGGCTGTGTCCATGGGTGCAAACTTGTATATATTTGCAAAGCATAGTAGTAGAGTGACATCTGTTGGGAAAATGTGCTACTTAGTTGAATCAAAGTAAGAAGCCTCACTAAATGTATGATGAGTTATTCATTCCACCATTAAGAAGTAACTCAAAATAATAATACAAACAGATATAACGAAGATATCAAATTACTAAATGCACCTCACTTTCTATTACTTCCTTAACAAAGCATCATTACCTGTAAGGAAACATCTGTGCGTGGAAGGCTAGACAGCACAGCTTTGGCATCTTCTGGCTCCTGAAGCATCAACAGAAGGAAGAGACCTAAAGGCAAGTCCTCTTTCAGTACTGCCCGTGCAACTTCAGCAACAACTGAAAGTAAGCAAGAATGTCAGTCAGAAATGAATGCAAACACAAAATACAACAACATGAGTACCTAAGACAGAGAAGGCTTGAAGAATAAAATAAAAAAATCAATCCTAAAGTCTCGTTGTCCAGGCTTGTAGGTCTGCTGCAACCACGATCTGCAACCTGCACAACTTGGATCCCTCTACTTCCTAGGTTGGGTCATGCTAGGTCCAACAGCCTCATCCTTGCTCTCTCACCAGCAGGTGCTTCTTGCAACTCAATACTGAAATCTGACTGGTCAACACCGACACCTCACTGCTCTCTGATTGGACTGCAGCCTCCTCTTGTCCCTGGTTTGCTGACTCAGCTCCTGAATACTCAAGCTGTGGAATCCAGATCCGAGATCAACTTATGTTGCTCTAATGGCACCTCAGCCCAGCAGCAGCAACACAAGACTGCCCAGTCCAATGCCAAATGAGGAGCCTCTCCAGCTCCCCTGTAGAGCTCCACATCACCTACAACACCGAGTCGTATCAATGGAAACTCACACCCACTACAATCACTCCCTAAACAGATTAAATAGACCAGTTCAAGAATTAGATAAAACCCATGTACTAGAGGTCATTAGCACTGGAATGAATATGATTTTTAAATCATTCTAAAGATGGAGGAAGCCACATTAATACCTGTAGGCAATTAGTGCTTAATGAAATATATCTGCCTTGAACTAAATTTTTACTGAGGTGTCTTGTGAGGCTAATCACTAAATGCCTTATGTACATAATTCAAAAATGTTTTTCAACCATTAAATATATTCACAAATTCTTTTGGTAATAACTTAGTAAATCTCCTTCTTACTAAATTATATAATACAATTTGAAATGATCCACATAGGAAAAAGAAGAAGAAGAAGAAAAAAATCCAAGACCATGAAAGTTGAATTACCTGTCTTATTTGTCTTGACTGTGTTGCCTTGTGTGAGTGTCTCTTCAATCAGAGCAATGCGTAGCAGGGAAAGCGAGAAATCTAGAGCTGGATTATTGATGGTTGGTGGAGCATAACTCTTATAACTGGCACCTGGTAAGAAAGAAAGAGATTATGTATATGAAGACTCATTTTTAGTACTTGTGAAAACAGATCTTTGATATCTTCCTATAAATTGCAAATTACAATATACATGATTAACAAATTTCAGACTGATGTACTCTGATATATTCCTCAAAAATCATGAATCTAAGAAGCTAATGAATTGAGCTAATGTTTAGAAAAAAAACTAATGAAAAAAGCTAATGTTAAAAAAAAGCCTCAGAATAGAGCTGATAAACAGAGTTAATATTCCAGCATAAAGCTAATCAACAAATCTAATCTTCTGGGGAATGGAAGGGAAGGCTAATGAATTGAGCTAGTCTTCTGAAAGTAAGCTACAACATACATCAAACAATCCAGAAAACCAAGGGAAAAAAATTACCAATAGAGCTAATGTGACAATCGGAAAACAGGTCAGCATAGAAGGCATGGCATCCCTGCTGATTGAAGTCAGCATTGGTCTCCTCGGCAGGAAGGTCACTTTCCCCTTGTGTCGACAGCTCCATCAGTGGCTGCATCCAACTGTCAATTAAAGAATCATAATTTCAATCTAATTTGATGGATAAAAAGATTAAAAGATGTGGCATGGACATCAGCTATCATTAAAAGATGTGGCATGGACATAAGGTAACATTAAAGGGAAGTAAAGTAAAGTGAATTAAAGTAAAGTAAAGTAATGTAAAAGAAGGGGGGGGG